GTTATGTTGAATAGACAAATCATCGCACATGTGCCTGCATCATGGAAAAATGAAAAACAATTAAAAAAATTAAAACACGTATGACAGTTGACAATTGTTAAACCAAATATGACATATAGCTGACAAAAAGGTCACAGGAATATGAGATGTACTGCTGAGCTCCATGTTGCAGTTTGGATCAGAAAACGTGAAAATAGTGACAAAATGTTATCAACAAAACAAATCCACGGCTGAGATATTAATTCGAGGGGAAGAAAGTTAAGTTTTAAAAGAGAAAAATGATGATAATTAATTAGCTAGGTCTTTAATAAAAATTTTGGAAAATAACTTCTAAGCATCAATTTAAATACTATAAATTCAGAAATTTTAATTAGATTAACTTATTAGGCCAATCTTATTCAGATTAAGCTTAAATTGGCTTATTTAAATTAAATTTAAAATATTTTACTTTTTTTATAAAACTCGTATAATCAAGCTTGATCTTAACATCTTTGAACTTTAGATTTACTCAGGTTGGGTTAAATATCCAACAAATTTTTAAAAAAATTCTTTATTTTGATTCAATTTAATTTTTAAATAATTTTATTATGCATAAAATATTATTTTTACTTTAAAATAATAAAATAAAAAATAATAACTTATCAACTTTGTATTTAAGTAACTCTATAACTGTTTTTTATATTTATAGTATAATTTATTCATAAATGTTTCTTTTACTTGTAAATTAATGTTTTAACTGTTTAAATATTGCTCTTATTATGGTTGTATATAAATTTTATACTCGCTCTATTTAAAAATGTAAGATATTTTTAATCGAATCTTACTATCCAATAAACTTACTTTTCAACTAACTCTATTTTTTTATATTTACTCCTATTAAACACCCTATAATAAATATAAAGTCATTATCAATAGGGGCACTTTTGAAAAAAAGACAATAATTACACCTCAAAAAACTAAAAATGCCTTATATTTTTAACATCTAACACCTTAAAAAATACCTTATATTTTTAAATAGAGAAAGTATATTTTAATTAAATTATATTATTTTAATTATGATCAAGTTAATCTTAATTCAATTACAGTTATATTACTAACTTAAAATTATTGTCCCAATTGATTCAAAGTTCTTAATAACTTTTAGGTAAATAGTACTTTTCATTTTTAAAAATATAAAAAAATAAATATCATTATATTATATAAATAAAATTATTTAATTATGAGTAAAATACTTTTTTTGAAATTATTTTTTTAAATTTTTATATTATTTAACCCCTACATACAAGAAATATTTAATCTAATTTATTCTTAGTTTTTAACTAAGTATGGCATAGAGGATAATCAAATAATTATTTAAAAATATTATTTTATTTATTATGTTTATCTAATAGTAGATCCAGGAATTCACACATGTCTAAATTTTATTTTTAAAATTATTTTTAATTTAATTTTTCCTTTAAAATTAATTATCTTATATTATAAAAAACATAAAATATACTCTTTCCGTTAAAAATGTAAGACATTTTTAACTGAATCTCAATTTCTAATAAAGTAGTTACCTACCTTTCAATTAACCCTATCTTTTTATATTTATCCTTATTAAACACCCTACAATAAATATAAAGTTACCATCAATAGGGGCACTTTGAAAAAAGCAACAATACACTCAAAAAATTAAAAATGTCTTATATTTTTGAAAACCTAATTCCTCAAAAAATGCCTTACATTTTTGAATGGAGGGAGTATTTTTTTGGATACTCAAATGATGTATAGGACTTAAAAGTCTTATTAAAAAATAATTGGGTCTTAAAATATAAAAATGAATATTAAAATATATTTTAAATGTTATTTTGAAATATTTTGTTGATTAAAATAATTAAAATGTGAAAATATTTTTAAAATTTTTTACAAAATTATAATAACGATTCAAATATATGATATTTTAGCATAAAAGGATATAAAATTCAAAGAATCAATTAATATTTATTATATTTTATATTTTTAAAATATTATTTTTTATTTTGTTATTCGGGCCAAACCAAAATCTAATTGAGTTGGCCAAAATAAGCTCAATTATTAAAAAATATTATTTTTTTAAGTCCGACTTCAAATTTTTCAGAGAGGTTTAAACTGGCTCTTTGAGTTTGGCTCAATTTTGGACTATTGAAAGGGAAATAGCTATGGAGAATCCATTTCCTTTAGAAACATACCTTTTGAGTTGAGTTGGTCGAACCGTTGAAGTCAAGAGCGCAGTGAGTGGAGGCTCTGTAACCGTTCGTATTCAATTGTATGTTTTTACCTCGCACTGATCAAATTTTAATATATGTAACAAGTGAAAAGAATGTAAAATTAGAAAATTGGATTTTTGTTTAGTATATCATTCTATAATTATTATTTTTATATCATGAGGTGTTAAATCCTCAATAATCTCTATATATGTACTCTCGCTGCTTGAATTAACTCTAAAGTTATAGCATAGATATAATGTAAAACAAAAAACTACGCATGAGAAACAACATGAGTTGTAATCCAAGGAAACACACATTAATTCGTGATACAAATCCAGCATTTTATTTTTTTTTAAGCATTTAATGATAATGATCTAGCATCACAAATTGAAATTAAAATTATATATAATTACCCGGAAAATGTATTCACACACCTAAAGGGCAAAAAATATCATTATCTTTCTTTAATTGTTTTATAAAATGAAAAATAAATGTACAAACAGAAAGTGTATTCTCTGTAACCAACCTCACTTTAATTGGGGAAAAAATTAAGCTCACCATCCACCTAGACCTGGTAACATGCATTGCTCGTGTTAATTTCAAATTAATATGGTAGGATCCTGGCCACACATGCGAGACTCACCTTAAAGAAGACACTCCTTCAATCCAAAATACAAGCATTTCTTTTCTATTAATTTTGATTTAAAATATAAATAATCTAGTATATGTAATTTTTTTTATTTTATCCCCTATATTTGTTAACCTAGATATTTATATAAATATATTTCTCACTCATTATAGAGTGTATTGATAATTGAAGTTAGGGATAAAAATTAAAAATAATATATATTTTTATGGAAATGAGGACTTTATAAGTATATAAATTTTTCTTAAAAATTACTTATATTTCAAATTGGTGAGAGTAACTTCCTTTAAAAATTGTACATTTCTGTCTTACAATTATATATATATATATATATATTGAATTAAACTGGATTAAATATTACTAAGAATAACAAGAAAAATACAAGAATTTTATCAACACTAAACGTTAATTTTTTTATCATTCACTGCCTCTCAGGTAAGTGGAGAAGGATGATTAAAGATGTAGAAGTTCTCTTCTAAACTATGAGATAGTGTAACTAAATAATCAGCAACAGTAATATTCTCACAAGAAACGTAATATATATTAACCGACCTAACAACAAGACAAATACAAAAGTTTTATTAACACCAAAAGGTAATTCTTCATCATTCACTGCCTCGAGTAAGAGGAGGGGGATGAATAAAAAATGTAAAAGTTCTCTTCTAAACTATGGGATAATGTAACTAAATAATCAGTAACAATAATATTTCTCACAAGAAACATAGTATAAATTAACCGACCTAATTAAGTATCATTTTATACACAGACAGGTATGTGATTCATGAAATCGATAGTAAATTAATTTTTTAAAAAAATCATATTTAGTCTTCTGTGACATTTAAACATGCTTAGACGTGTAAAAACAATTAAAGAATCATGAAAGAGTTACAGAGTTTAATATTAAAAATTTAGAGAAAGATTGAAAGAGTAATACACAGAATCTGAGATAGCTCGCGCAATTTAGGACTTACGGTTTATATAACGATATTGACAACATTTAGTTTTTGAATGGATATGCACGGTTAAAAAGCATAATAAATCCTTTCTAATTTGTAAAGTTTTTAATTTAAAATACACAAAACTCACCTTAATTTTGATACAACCACACAAAACTTCCTTCATTTTTTAAAGTTTAAAATAAATTTCCTATTTTTTTAACAATATACTTCCTTACTATATTTTTTTAATTATTTTACTAACAAAAGTTATCGCATAATGTTTAAAGACACGTAGAAATTTATGTGACATCTGATGCACATAAGTTAATAATAACATAAAAATATGGATAAATATTATTAACTTGTAAGTTGCTAAATGTTTTTTTTTAATATAATATGATAATTTTTATTAGTAAAATAACTAAAAAAATGTTAGCGGAGGAGTTTGTGATAAAAAAAAAAAGGGTTAAGATCTTAAAGAGGTTAATTTTTACCTTTAAAGGTGAGAGAGTTTTGTGCAAGCTAGCCTCGACTGTTCATGAAAATTTTGAACTTCCTCTATTAAAAAAATACAAGATACTTGTAATCCTATCTTTTTTATATTATCTCTATTTAATTGGAGGTTTCACATTAAAATAAACACAAAGTGATTTATTTAATAAGAATATTTTTTTTAAAAAATAATGATTATATTTTGAAAGATAAAAAATGTCTTATATTAAAAAATATCTTATATTTTTTAACGAAAGGAATATATTTTAACAAAGTATTCAACGTAATTTTTATTATCCCAAAACAGTTATTGAAATTGATAATTTAATTAATCCATAATTTTTAATAGTTCATTCCAATATATTTTATTAGCCATAAATGATAAAACTTAAAAGTGATAAAACTTCAAATAACAAACTAAAATTAAATCATATGCGTTATAAATACTGATGAAATAAAATTAAAAAATACAATAAAAGTTACTTATAATAACAATAATGATAATAACAATAATAATTCAGTTATAGAGTTTCATCAAAATAATTGAAACAAAACGAAATTTGTCACAAAAAATCAATTTCCATATAGTAAAATATAGATGACACGGCCCAAGCTAACATGACACGCTTTTTCAACTTACATAGCCGTTGTTGGACCAGAAAAAATGAAAAACTCTCCATCCTTTCAAAGCCTCTTTCTACGTTTCTATATAACTCTCACCGCTCTTCCCACTCCATTCCACTCCACCCCTTCCTCTTTCTCTATTCACAATCTTTATCACCTATGAGCAAGTTACGGCACGTCTTCGCCGGAATCTCAGATTCCGGCGACCACAGCAGAAACAAGAAGCTCTTTCTTGCTCTGTTCTCCACTCTGCTCCTTCTCGTCGCCGCTGTCGCCATCATCGCCGGTGTCAATTCCCGCCAAAAATCTTCCGGTGACGATAGTTTGAATTTCTCCACCCATCCATCCCACGCCATAGTCAAATCCGCTTGCAGCTCCACACTTTACCCTGAACTCTGCTTCTCTGCTATCTCCTCCGAGCCTGGATTCACCGAGAAAGTCTCTTCCCACCGCGATGTCATCGAGCTGTCCATAAACATAACAGCCAGAGCTGTCGAACACAATTTCTTCACCGTCGAGAAGATAATGGCAACCAGAAAGGGAAGCCTCACGGAGAGAGAGAAAACCGCCCTTCATGACTGTTTAGAGACGATTGACGAAACGCTTGACGAGCTTCACACTGCTAGGGAAGATCTGAAAGTCTATCCGAACAAGAAGACTCTGTACCAGCACGCCGACGATCTGAAGACTCTGATAAGCGCCGCCATTACCAACCAAGTCACGTGCCTCGACGGATTCTCTCACGACGGCGCTGATAAGAAAATCAGGAAAGCACTGGAGGCAGGGCAGGTGCACGTGGAGCACATGTGCAGCAATGCTCTGGCGATGATTAAGAACATGACGGACACGGATGTGGCGAACTACGAGAAGAAGATGGGGATCACAAAGAGCAGGAGGCTGATGGAGGCGACGGAGGGCGCTGTTCAGTGGCCAGAGTGGATGTCGGCGGCAGACAGGCATCTATTGCAGTCGACGGAAGTGAAGCCGGACGTGGTGGTAGCGGCAGACGGGAGCGGAGATTTTAAGACGGTGGAAGCAGCAGTGACGGCGGCGCCGGAGAAGAGCGCGAAGAGATATGTGATAAAGATAAAAGCAGGAGTTTACAGAGAGAATGTGGAAGTTCCGAAGAAGAAGACAAATATAATGTTCTTGGGGGATGGAAGATCTAACACTATCATCACAGGAAGCAGGAATGTCGTCGACGGAAGCACAACCTTCCATTCCGCCACTGTCGGTAAGTTCACCACCCTCCCTCCCTCCCTCTCTGTTTTTTTGGGTCAAGCTCTTCCTTCTCGTTTACTTACCTCACTTTACTAATTAAAAGGACAGACGACGGTAAAATCTAGATAAAGGAAAATTAATGATGATTGAATTTTTAATATAAATTGTAAAATTGATAAAATTGTAAAATAGAAATTTCAATTACAAGCTGTAGTTACATTTAAAATTTAAATATTTTATTTATAATTAAATTTATGAACTTATAATTGTTTTATTTAATATTTATAATTTCTTTTTGAAAAAATTTATCAGTTTTTTTAAATTTAATTATCTCTCTTCAATTTAGGCTAACCATTTAATTTTTTTTAAAAAAAGTTTTTAAATGGTCTTATAATTTAGCCTTCAGGGACCAAAATGTTGGTTGGTATCTTATGATCCGTACCTTGGTCCTCGGACAGAGTGTTTGTCTGTAGTATATAGATTTATTTTTATGCAAGAACATTTTAAGCTGGTAAAAAAAAAAGAAAAAAATCAATATTCAGAATTTTAAATAAATATTCTAATGCAATGCCTTTTTTATTTTCCATTTTCTAAGCGTGATACATAGAGGATTGTTCTTCTTTTAAAATGGTATTTCAAACAAATTATAATGATTATAGTGCTCGGGAATTGTCTTTTTTTTTTTAAATATTCCGAATTACATTTGCAAGAAAAATGGTCTAATGTTAGCTTTGGGCGTAATATAGACGAGCAAGCAAGTTTGAAAAGTTGACAAACTTCTCATTTAACTAAATAATATAATATAATGCCGTGATGAGCGCGATGGATGATGAGGTTCGCGAGTTGCCCCACTGATTCATTAATTCGAAATCAAGGGGCAAAGGAAAGCACCGAAAGCTCAAATTATCCATCCATATACGTGTCCGAAGACATTGCACATATTACATTTATTAATGTAATGATGAAGACAATTTACTTTACTTGACAACTAATAACATTTACGTGGTCACCGTTGTTGTTGAGTTTCGACCAACTCAAAAATTGTTAATGTTTGTTCCTGCGTTTTGATGTTCAAAATCAGACTAATTTTTCCCTGCTTGGCCGCTTCTAACCCTCATAGATTGAAGAGCTAGGAATATTGTAGTTCCTAATACAATGATTAGCGAATAATGTTTGATGAGTATGTTTTCGCTGTCGGTTACATTTTATCATTATTTCCTTGTCTGCAACCAAAAAAAAAAATACTAATAAACTTTTGAAACAAATGATAATTCAATTGCTATCATTTTCGGGATAGAGACCCCAGCATTTGTTGAGGGCCAAGTCATGCTGTACTCAGTATTCTTTTAGGGCCGGTTTCTTATGGTCCAGCTAAAATGTGGCAGCATGTGCACCTGGGTCATGATCGTGTAAAGATCTAGAGAAGTCAAAATATTTTGTCTCTGCCTCCTCTTTTTCTGATTGGTAATAGTAAGTCGCAAAGCTATATATAATGTTCGCACAATCGATAAAAGAAAATTAATTATTTTTCTAGGTCATGATTTTCAACCGCCCCATCAGACTAGCTGTTCTAATTTATTATCTCGTTCTTTAAAAGACGGGAAAAATTTCTGAGAAGCCCTTGTTTTGTTTGTTTTTTTGTTTGTCACTGATCAGTTCTGAAGTTCTCTAGAGTCCGGATATATTATGTTCTTTCTCATTCTATTTATAAGATTAAATTTTTTTTTTACCTTTCATTAAATATTGAAAAAAAAAAATTATTATTAAAATATATATATTTTATAGAAATAAAGTTAAAAACTTATTAAATTTTAAGATAAAATTAATAAATTTTAAAATTTTTTTATATTAATAAAATATATTAAAAATAATTTATAAATAGAATTAGAAGAGTAGAGAATTAAAAAACAAAAATGATAGGTGGCTTGAAGAGATAAACATGCCATCTTTACTTTTTTTAGTCCGGACGATTAATATGTTATTTTAGAAGTCTGGAAATCTTAAAAGGAAAAAAACGACATCAGGTTGTCGGTTGTTTTATTCCTTCGACATTTTGATTTCATGTAATTCATTTCCTTTCTCTTTTGCTCTTCCTCTTTTATCGACCTTCTCTTTTCTTCCTTTTCTTTTGCATACAATGAAAAGAAAAGCTTTCCGATATTCCAAAAAAAAAAAAAAGAACTTTCCTTGATGCTTCTTCTTTATTCTAGTGCCAGTATTATTGGCATCAATCATGCATGGTTCCGTGGGACATGGTAGAAAAATCCAGCCATAGAGAACAACCCACGGCACGACACCCCCCACACACTATTACACCTTTCACTTCCACGCTATCTTTGCTTGTTGAGTATATTCGTGTCGTTTTATATATATTAGCTGTTGGTCGATTGAGCCTTTGATTCTTTAGTCTGGACTCTGGAAATGCTCGGGTTAGTGTAATCCAAGGTAAATCTTGCGTGCCACTGTCAAATTTAATTCCTTAGTTTCCTTTTGGGCATAAACGTGGTGTGTGTCCTCCGCTGTCCAATTGAATTAAAGAGTACTAATAAGTAAACTAATTTGTCATTTTGTTCACGCTGTCCAAATGCTCGGGTCAGTGTAACCCAATGTACGTGTCTCAGACTGAGTAACTTGCAGGCTTGTGGCCACGTACGGAGACACGTACATCACCCCACCACTGAACCAGCCATGCGCACTGTTTCACCTTACCCACGCTTTGACAGTGACCTCTTTAGGCTCTTGTTCTGTCCTCAAGTCCCTACATAAGAGTTTAGACACATTTTTTCCAGTTAAGAGAAGTCTTTAATTTTTCATAATTTAGGTCTAAATAATTTGCATGCGTTTTTAGAGGATTTTTTTTTTTCAAATTTAATGACCTTATGCCTTTATTTACAGTTTTGAAACTGTAAATAAATATCATAAAATTTTTACTGATTTATATAATGAAGCTTGACAAGCTTACATGCAGGCCTCTCCTGTTATCATTTTCAAAATCATCATCATCATCATAATGTAACAGTTTCTGATATACTGAAAGGAGAAAATTTCAGTCAACTCTAAGAAATAAAAATATTAAAAACTACTGTCATTACTCCTTCCAAGAGGGAGGTAACATAGCATGCATGGAATATTATTGCAAATGGCAATCATAAAATAGGAATTATGTTGAGTTGGCATTGGCGAGAGCCAGCGTATAAGTGTGTCATCTTTTAGATGTCACTATTATGTTCCGTAGAAGATATTTTTAAGCCAGCTCATATTAACTCACAGAACAGATTATTATTATTATTATTTTCCTGAATTAGAACGAGTAAAGAGACCTAATCTTCTGATTATTCATCACACCCCTTGATAAGTAAAGATTTTATCCATTTTTTGTTTTATACCTTTTTTCCCATCAATTTATACTTTTAAGGGACAAGCCATTGACGCACTGTACATTGCAGCCGTAGTGGGAGAAAGATTCCTCGCTCGCGACATAACCTTCGAGAACACGGCCGGCCACGCGAAGCACCAGGCCGTCGCCCTCCGGGTAGGAGCCGACTTCGCCGCCTTCTACCAGTGCGACTTCCTCGCCCATCAGGATACCCTCTACGTCCACCACAACCGCCAGTTCTTCATCAACTGCCTCATTGCCGGTACCGTCGACTTCATCTTCGGCAACTCCGCCGTCGTCTTCCAAGACTGCGATATCCACGCTCGCCTCCCCGGCTCCGGCCAGAAGAACATGGTCACAGCCCAGGGCAGGGTGGACCCGAACCAGAACACCGGCATCGTGATCCAGAAGTCCCGTATCGGAGCAACGAAGGACCTGGAGGCGCAGAAGAAGAACTTCAAGACTTTCCTGGGGCGGCCGTGGAAGGAGTATTCGAGGACGGTGATAATGCAGTCGAGCATAACCGACGTGATCGATCCGGTGGGGTGGCATGAGTGGAATGGGGATTTTGCTTTGGACACTCTGTTCTACGGAGAGTATCAGAACAGTGGCGCCGGTGCCGGGACGGCGAACAGAGTGAAGTGGAAGGGGTTTAAGGTTATAACGAGTGCTTCGGAGGCTCAGAAGTTTACTGCTGCCAACTTCATTGGCGGGTCTAACTGGCTGGGGTCCACCGGCTTTCCTTTCTCTCTCGGTCTTTAGATTATTATAATTATAATTATTATCATGGCATTGATTATTGTTATGTTTATTGTGTAATGTGTATTATGGGTAGGAAAAAAAATGTCATTTTATGTAGGAAAAAGGGAATTTATGGGAAAGGAGAGGTTTGTGGTGCGTTGAGGAAACAAAATCATGTGCTTCTAGCACGTGATATGCCTAAAAAAATAAGTGAAAAAAATAAGGTGACCTTTTTATTTTTGGCATGATTAATGAAAATATGAGTGATTTTGATTGAATGCTACCAATAAGGATTTAATTATTTTGAATTGTTTAAATTTATGATTGGTAGCCAAATAATTGTCATTTTAGGTGGAAAAAGGGATTTTGCGGAGAAGATATGTCCGTGAGGAAGCCAAATCCTTTTCTCTTACCGTGTATGCTGGCTATGCATGCAGCAGAGTTGAAGCAGACGGCATTTTTTTCTTTTTTAACAAAGTACATGTCAATATGATATGAACCAGGTTATAATTTATTTTTTTTTATAAATTAAAAGTATGTTACAATATGTACGTATATAATGACATAGTTTTGGGAACTTGGATAATTTTGACTCTCACATAATTTTGACCTTTTTCTTATATTACGGAGATTTTAAAATATTATCCCTTTTCTAAAAATTGCCATTAAATGTATAATTTATATCCCTTGTATTATTAACATTCTAATGATGAAAGGGGAATGAGATAGTGTTCTGTGTCTGCAACAGATTGACCAGTAATGAATTACCGAGTGTATTCCCTTCTATTTTTATTATAGGACACCTAATTATTTTATTAAAACTAAAGAAAAATTATTAAATTATTAACTTTGTTTAAAAATAGAACAAACTTTTAGCTTTAAAATTTTTTAAACTTGTATTACACTTTCACTTATAGTTAATGAGTTTAAATGGAGGTAATATTGAAAAAATAAAATCAATATTATATCAAGTGTATTAATGATGAAAAATCTTTCTAAAAAACATTCTATATTAGGAATAGAAGATATACCGTGTATGCGTGCTTGGAAGTGTGATGTGTACACATTTAAAAACTGTGTATCCGTGCTTAAGGAAGGTTTACGCCAGATGTGGGGCATGGCCGATTTCTCAATCGTCGGCCTCCCTAACAACTTTGTTGTAAGGTTCCCCAATAAAGATCTATGGCAGGCCCACTACAAGAAGGTTCTTTATGAAGGTCCAAAGATATTCAAGCAACATTGCTTATTGGTCCAAAAATGGACACCGTATTTTGATCCGTTTCAAAATACCCCCCGACGTGCGGTGACCTGGGTGCATATTCCTCATGTGGCCATGCATCGCTGCAACCATCGCTTTATCTCTTGTTTGGGTGAAAAAATAGGGAGGACCTTAAAGGTTGATTCAAACACTTTGTCTGATTTCACTTCTGGAGATGCTAAGGTTGAACGGGGACGGCACGCACGTATATGTGTTGAACTTGACTTACAAAAAAGATTAGTGCCGAGAGTGATAGTGGCAGGTTCTCTCTTCAATGTTGAATATGAAGGATTATATCTGATTTGCTTTGCCTGTGGTCGTTATGCTCACCGACGAGAAGCATGCCCCTGGAGAAGTAGTACCAGTACCCAATGCAACACTACCGCATCGTCTTCCTCTTGTGATCACTTGCCCATCAAGATGCCAGATAAATCACCGGTAAGAAAGGTTCTAGAGGACAGTGAAATTTCTGGAAGCTGGATGTTGAGTAACAAGACCTTGAAAGGTCGATTCTCGAAGCCAAATTGGTGCAGAGATGATCAGAGCCATCGTTCAGAGGGTAGGATACAAGGTGTCAGTAAAGACAACTACTTTCACCAAAAGTCCAGATTTGCCTCAATTGCAAACCCAGATAAAAATGATAGCACTTTTGAGTGGAACATCTTAAATTTTTAAATTAAAATTTTTTAGTGTTTTTAAAGATATTTTGATTAATTTATATAAATTATTGATTAATAATGTTTATAAAATATTAATATAGTTTTTAAATCTTTGGACAAACTTAAAAAAAAGTTAGGTCAATGTTTAAACAAATCATGCCATGGAGAGAAGTTTAAATTGTGGCGAGACTTTGTGTCATGTGCTGCGGCGGACATGCCAATGTGTCGCAGCGCACATGCAAAATCTACACTTATCAAATCGCAAATCAGATTGAAAATCAGAAGAGAGGAAAGGGTGAACATGAGAGGAGTGACAGAGAGGGACTTGTGACTACTAAGGCTTGCTTCCAACGTGATTGTGAACGCCTTACAAGCTTGATATACATTACGTAAGCTTTCCTCTCTTTTCCCTCTCTTTCATTATGCAAAAATTTTGACTTATGGGGTAATAGGGGCTTGTTTTTGATTTCATTGGGTTTAAACCAAATCTACTGGCTTGTTTTTGACTTGTGGTAGTCTTGAAACACTATTAGTGGCAATCAAAAAGCACTCCTCGTTGGTTTTTGTGTAAGTCTGGGACTCCGTCCTTTTAGGAGTTAGTAAAAAGATTAATAGTGGAAATAATACCAACTTTTGGTGTGACCTATGGACTCCTTTGGACAAACCTCTCCTTCTCCTTGCTGACAAAAATATGGAATTCATCAATCTCAATGATGTTGTCAGTCATTTTATTCTCCCATTTGAAGATTGGAATCTACAAGAATGGAGCGAATTCCTATCTATAGACATCATACAATCACTCAAAAACTTGAAAATACCATCTAGTTCCATGAAGGACTTATTCTAGTGAAGAGCAGCATCTAATAGTCAATTCTTAATCCAATTTGCTTATTCTTTTATTACTAACAGTGTCAATAGCAACACTGATCCCTTATAGAGCAAAATTTGGCATTAGCAACTACCTAAAAAAGTTAAGGTGTTTATCTGGCAAATTGTCCATGAGAGATTGGCTACCAACTCATTTAGAGCTAAGAGAGGACTCTCAAACACTAATGAGTGTTCTTTTGAGTGTGATACACTTACTTTAAAATTATGAGTGGTCGAAATCTGTTTGGAAGGTGTTTATTAATTTTGACCATTTACTTGCTTTTTTCCTTTTGACTTGCAAGGTTGGATTCATTAGAATGCTACTCATAACCTAGGGAGCAAATGTGTTAGAAGACGGCCATGGCATAAAATCTTTAGCCATGTAAGCGGGCTCTTTTGTATGTAAAGATGTAAGTATGTATTTGAAGGAAAGAGTGCATGACTAAATGAAATTGTTTGTACTTGCCTTTATCGACTCATGGTAGATGTTTGCAATGACAAATTTAAACATCAAATCTTCGTTAGCTCTTCATCTTCACCAAACCTTTAGATTCCTCCTCCTTTGGGCAAAGTGAGACTTGACGTTGATAGCTCTATCTAGCACAACATGCAAGCAGCCTACAGGGGAGTCATAAGAGATACCAATGGTGAGTGGATACTAGGTTTTAAGAAAAATTTGGGATTCCTCCCTCCTACTGCAGCAAAGATTCTCGCCATAAAGACAGAATTTGAAGTATGCAAAACTTATAGCTTTACAACGATTCACTCTAAACTATTAATATCCTATTTAGGGATAGTGGTTTGGATCATCCTCTTAGATTAGAGATTGAAGACACTAGAGCACTGTTATACAATGAGTGAGAGATTGAAGTACATAATAATAAGCAAGAAGCACTTCAATGCGCAGACTTCCTAGCCAACGAAGCTCATAGGAATGGTTTTGATACTATTTTAATCCCTTCTGTACCTAATAGCTATCTAGGTATTATTAAGGATGACTTTAATCACTTCTACAATAGACATGGTCAAATAGGACCTAACTTTGTTTTATCTCTTACTTAAGCTTTGCTCACCCTTTAAACCCAAAAAAATAAAAATAAAAATTAAGCTTCGTAGAACTTGAGGAAGTCAATTCATTCATGTTGATCAATTATTTTTTTAATTTTAAAAAAGAAAGAAAGAAAAGAATGAGAAGATTGCAAAGACGTGCTTATCAAAACTTTGTCACAAATTAAGTAGTGTGGTGTATCTGGACTCATTGACTCGCAGATTATGGGAGTGAAAGAGAAGAAATTAACTACCAATTGGGATGAATTATGTGTATCCTAACTCCTCCTCCCTTCATGCGTCTACTTCAATCTCACTTCTTCATTTTTCATTTTTTAATTAATTGAATTAATTATTTTCTTATGTAATTAATCTTAAATATATGTACGCATGGGGCTAACACACAAAATCCAACAATTTTAACCTAAAGATAATTATAACTTTTAGTCTTGAATTTTATCTCAAATGTTAGTTTTGTTGTGAACATTGACTTAGTATAATTTAGTCCTCATATTTTATAAAGTCAAGAAATCATAGAAATTAGTTGCTAATTTTTTTTTATTATTTTGAAATAACTTTTGGAGCTATCTTACTGAGCAAGGTAGAGATGAAAGGTTGAATCAGGACCGAAGAATATAGAATAAGATGAAGGACACGGAATGACAATGAGGAGCAAGCTGTTATGGTATGGCTTGAGAAATCAGGAAACAAATAGAATTTGAATAAAGTATACATCACACACCACGGAAATTGAAAAAAAAAAAAAATCAAATCCCCAATTTCTCCAATCCAAATACACATCTGATTTTCAAAAATTAATTTCTGAAAATGTAGTGTGGATTAATGATAAGAAAACCAATCACAACTTTTATTTTTTATTTTTCTTAGTTTAAGAAGGAAGGGAAGGAGAAATGGCGGGGGGGGTACAGAGGAACAAAAGGCTTGTATATTGGCGCAATTGCCGGCCGCTCCACATTTCTTCAATCTTTGACCATTCTATATAATAATAATCATTAATTTCACATTGTCATCTACATAATGTTTCATGCACAGTTATTGGGCGAGAATTTGTGATAGACAATTTAAATAATTTGACATAAATTCAATTTATTATATCCATTGGGACATCCAAAAATTAATTTATGACTCTTTCCTACATTGTTGACATTTTTTTTAGGAAAAAGGAAGTCCAAACATGTTTAAAGGCATGTATGTAAGTATGGATATATTGAACGGTTGTGCGAGTGAGAGGATAGGATCGGATAGTTCATAGGTTTGTGACTTGTGACTTACAAAGTGTGCCCACAGACGGTGAAGGTGTTGCCTAGTTTGCAGGCTGCAGGCTGCGCGCACTTTGGTTCGTTTTGCTCCGAGCCACTCACTTGGCCTTTGTCTGTTTCTCGCTTTTCTGTTGGCGCATCCCTACGGTTAGTTTCTTCTGAATGAT